GTCACAAAACAAGCGAAGGTGACATTGTGCTTTTCGCACCTCATACCCCAATCAGTCGTAGGTGCGCGCGCGGCCCGATGCCGTCGGAACTACAATCTAAGTCTCCATCCTTTCATCACATACAACGACCCGCGGCTGTCAGATAGACGACCGGGGTGGCATTCTGATGCAAGGCCAAATTGGCGTACGAACGAATAAGCGGGGTCATAAGGACACAAGAAGGCCAGGGCCAAGGATCCAGAATGCCTGGCGAAGCCCGCTTGTGCCGCTGGTGGCCTGTCGAGCCAGTCCCATGGAAAAGCCGTTGTGCAACGCTAAACCACTTTTTGTCTAATTATAGCGGAGCGGACAGCTGTAACTGCTGCTTGTCATTCCCTGCAATTTGTGATGCGCCTTTACTAACACCCACACACATACCAACGGTTGGGGTCAAGAAGGGCATGGGAGGGCGGGCTTGAAGGGATATATCCAATCGCAGCGAGTGCCGTTTGTGCCAATTTCGTGTTCTTTGACCGATTCCATGTTTGACTTTGATGGGGGGGGGGCATCCGGGGCAAACAGATCATCCCAAAAGTGAAGCAAAAAGCTTTACGAGTCCCCTTGGCTTATACGAGACAAGATGCAAAAATGAACCGACGCTGCGGTACAAGGGGCACACTTACGCATGTCACGCTGCAAAGGGGGGGGCGAGGGAGGATCACAGTAGAGTAAGTAAGTGGGGTGGGGGTAAAAGTCAGACAAATTGATTGACAGACTTTTGAACGGGCGCGCAGCGAGCGGAGCGGAGATAACTCCGCTCGCTAATTTTGTACGGATCGAGCGAACAATCCTGGTCCCCGTATCGTCGTCCCGTTCGAACCCCCCCAACAACGCAATATGCTTGGTTCGTTTGCCGCATTCCGAAGTAGGGGTGTGTGTCACGGCCAAACGAATCCTTTTCTTTGCTGACTTGACTTTCCGCCCTTGTTTTATCTTATTTTATTTTATTTTTCTTCCATCTACCCTGGCCAGGAAAAAAAACACCGCCGCCTTCTTTTGCTAATCTATCTGAAGCAAGAGGCACATTTAACATTACGGCCAATCAATCTCCCCCCCCCTTCCCCTTCCCCCAGAGCAAGTATCACCCCACATTCCATCCTTCCAAGATTTCCCATCTCCAACAAGGATACCGGGTAACCTTAAAATAAAAACTCGCAACGGTCACGCTTTCGGAGATATTAATATGCGATCTTATGATATCCGCGGTTTACGACGTGATTATTTTTTTGCCACTCATCCCCCCCATCTCCCGCTTTCCCTTCACCAACTCGAGTCTTAACCCGTTTAAAAGTCTTACGCTACACGGCACAATAATTTCTGGTCGCCCCTCGGGTATATCGGCCTATTGCTTCAGTCTCTCTCTCTCTCTCTCTTACTCACAGTCTCACTTGCTTTCGGCCCCCCCTAAATAAAAAAACGGTTTATTTCCTTATTAGGAAGAAACGGCGACGGCCCTAAGAAGCCGACTCTACAACGGACGGACTTTTGCGCGCATCGGCAATTCGCCCTTGTAGCCCTATGCGCAATCCGTTTTTGTTTCCGACCCGGGGGTTGGGGGGGGTGTTTGCTTCTTGTCATTATGCCCCTAGTGCAACAAAAACGGTGTTCATAAATATATATATATATACAAACATTAACTACCTTTTATACAACGGTCTTTTTTTATACGACGGTGACGATGACGGCGGTGGTGCCGGAATGAACGAGTCGTGGGGGAAGGGGAGGGGGGGAAATACGGTTACGCAGATGTTGCCCTTGGAGAAAGAAAAAACGGCGGGCAAGGGCGGGCGAGAGAGGGGCGGGCGGGCGGCGATAGAGCTGAGAGCGTGCGACGCATCGGCGGCTACGGGCACAGCGGCCACAACTGACTGACTGACTGACTTACTGACTGAGTTGCGGCGGAAATTTGCCGAAACGCGCTTGCCCTTGTTGTTGCGCGCTTTTTTTGGAGGGAGGGGGGTTAGGTGGGTGGACATGACCCCCGTTCGGAGTATTCGCACAAGTGACATGGGATAGCGAGGTTTGTCCGGGGTGGTAAGTGGTAAGTGGTGATGGTGGTGGTCATTTGCTTTTTTTGGGATCCCTCCCGTCCTCTCTCTGGGTTTATTTTGTAGTACGTTTACCCTGTTTGAAGGGGGGGGGGACGGGTTGGGAGTTTGACTTGCAACAGGCGGTCAGGTTTGTGTGCGGGTTTGACTCAGGGTATTTTCTGTCTTGCTTTCGTTGACTTGTTCTTGTGTGTGTGCATGTGTTGTTTCCCGAATGCGAATCCGGAATCAAGGCTAAGGGGCGGCGGGCGGCTACTATCACTATGTATGTAAGTGATTGACGGAGTGGGGATTTTTTCAGATGCGGGATCATAGGGCGGGCGGGGGGCTACGTCATTGGGATCGTGATCGTCCGCTGGGCGGCTGGTTTTTCTTGCTTCACTTGGATGGAGAGAGGGGTTTGTTGTGCGTGGACTTGAGTGGGGGAGGGCGGCGGTCTGGATTGATGGAATTAGGGTTCTGAGAGAGAGACAAGGGTTGGATAAGGTTCTGATACGAACGTGTGAGGTATGCATCATCGGTTTATGCTTGTGTGTGTGTATGTGTGTGGCTGTGCTGTTACATTTGAAATTCATTACCGAAGTCTTGCATGTGATTGTGTAGATCTTCATCTTCAGGGTCTTGGGAGTGTACTTGGTAGTGTACACATGCAGTCAGCATCATATGATATCTCTTTTCTTATTTTCGAATTTCTGCCTGGCAGAACTTTTCTTGTTGTTCATCCTTGAAGGGCAGGGATGGTATCACATATACGAAGTCTCAAGAGAAACTTTATAAATCTCACATATTGTAAACTTCATGAATTAGGTTATTACTACTACAAGGCAGCGACATACGATATTTTGACTCTTCCTTTCCAAAATATTCCAAACTCAAAATGTGACGTATACTGGATATCATATTTCCACTCTTATTGCTTTTCTCTGCCATGAATAAAAATCCAATATTTACCTCCTACATCTTGCATCCCAGGTTTGACAAACTCAAGAGAAATTGGGGTGTGATTATTGAGGAGAAAACTATTGGATCCCAGACAACAGAAGTAGACCAAATTATCTCATCACAATATGTAGGTAGCTAATTTAGGTGGCTAAAGACGGTGGAGATATAGCATCACAGCATTAGCTACCGCAAATACTCCACTGGATCGCATCACTTACTATGAAAAAGCCCTCCTACTTACCTCTCCGTTCTTTATTCTACATGCATGTGATGTGGATATCCAGTTTACAATTAGACCATACATGCTGAATAGGAAGGAAAATGCGGTGGTCATAGTACATCAGTCCTTACCCAACCTCGTTCATTCTTAGATGATTAAAAAAAATCTATCCCATCATAAGCACTTCCTTCCAACTGGCCATCTCACTTCTCACAATATCCATCCATCCATTCATCCATCCAGCCCAGTCCAGCCCGGCCCAGCCTAGCCCTCGCCCTTTACACTTCACACCTCACACTTCACACCTCACACCGCCACTGCACCTACCACAACAACGCATACATACATACATACGTCCACCCCCAGTCCAAGTCCCTCTCTACGTATACGTACCACCGCCCCAATCCCTCTTCCTAGGCACTGCCCTAATCTAAAAACTCAAATCCATCTACCAACCCTTCCCAATTCGCTCACCTGCATATCCCATCCTTCCCAGTTTAGGATCCACCGGAAGACGTGGATTCCGGAATCCTTCGTGCGCCGAAAAGGGACTAGACGACTGTTTTTTGGGGTGATTGGGGCGGTGGCGGGGTAAGGAACTGGGCGAGCTGAGCTGAAAGTGAAGTGAGGGTGGCCGCGGGTAAGGTATGTGTAGGTGAGGTGATAGTGGTGGTAGAGGTGGTGGGGGAGATAGAGAAGGTCGGCGACTTTAAGTCTTGGGCTTGGTTGGATTGGAAGTGGTGGTAGGAAGGGAGGGGATTGGATTGGAGGGGGGAAGGGGCCGGAAAGCAGGTCTACTTTTTCCTGATCCCCAGCTGGAAAAGAGGGTGAGAATTGCGTGTCCGTACTCCAATTCCCCCATGTACTTCTGCGTTTCCCATACCGCTCCCCAACACCGACAACCGCATAGCCCAACGCTCTCTAAGTTTGCGTATCCGTATCCTCGGCCGATACCAACCCAAAGCCAGCCCGAAACAAAAAAAATCCTAATCCTCCCACCCAATCCTCCGGACTCGCCATCCCCCCCCTTCCCTCATCCCTAAAGCAGTAACCGCACCGCCCCACCTCTTTCCCATTCGTCTCCTCTCGTCTTTTGGCGACCAGAATCCAGTAACCCCGAAAACGCAAAATAGAATAAATAAATAACGCCTAGGTCAGTACAAAAGTACTCCCGAAAACGGAACCATAGTAAGTAGTAAGGTTGGCGTTGGCGCCCTGCCCGCCCGGTGCTTTGCGCGCTGTGCGCAGGCGGCACATGCCCACATTTTCCTCCTCCTTCCTCACTATTGTAATTTTTTTTGACTGATCGATTCTTTCCGTCCCGCGTCGCCGACGTGCGTGCCCTCCCTTTTTCCGTAAAGCCCCCAAGAAAAAAAATAACGGAATCCATTTGTTAGTACCTGTAACTAGGTACGATCAAAAAGGGGATAAACTAGCGTCCGTGGACTCGATGACACCTCTTTTTTCCATTGCATGAGTAAGTAAGTTGTTTCTTTTGTCCCTGTTCGCTGTTCGTGTGTGTCTCTAAACGCCCGTTTTTTTTCTCGCCGTTCGCTAGACGCTGTCCTCTCGGCTTTTTTCCTTTCTTTTTCTTCCTTTGCCCTTTGCGCCCGCGAGTGTGAGGTCCAGCCTTTTTTGCCCCCCTTCGCCTTTCGCCCTGTCTAGCCTTGACGCCCTGCGCCCAGCCTCAATTGTCCAGGACAGGGCAAGGGGAGGGGTGTACACCGCAACGAAATCCCACAGAATAGACTCTACAGAGTGCTTTCTTTTTTGCTTTTTTCCTTCCTACGCGCTTCTTCATGTTTCGAAACCGGGGGGTAGGTGGGTTGCGGGCGTGGCGTTTTTTCTGCGCGCATAGCTGCGCGCGGGCGGATTATCGAGGAATTGGGGCGCGCAGCGGCGGCGGCGGGCTTGGGTTGGTTGGGTTGGGCGCTGCGGCGGGGGGTTGACAATTGTGGGTCGGTAGTGAGCAGGGGTAAGCGAGGATGGGAAGGGCGATCTTCCGTTTTTAGATGATGGGCGGGTGGTCCGGCATGGGTGTGCGGGCTGCGAGTGCTGCTTTGGCGTGAGGTAATAGGTGGGGAGGGGGTGCAGGGTGGGAATTGGGTTGACGAAGAGGGGAAAGGGTGAAGGTGAGTGTAGGGGGGTTTTGGATGAGAGAGAGTGAGTGGTTGGTTTGATTGGGGAGTGGTATTTGATAGGCGATTGATACGTGTCATTGGTTAGGTGGGTTGTGCGAGTCGGTGAAGGGATAGTCACGTGATGTGTCCGTGTGTGAGGAAAAATTATGGGTATTGGTGTGACTTGATTGCGATCGTGGATTGATGGGGAGTTTCGTCTCATACTGGGTACAGAAAGACTTGTAGAGTTGGGTTCGTGTTCATCGTAATTATCATCTAGACGGACTGGACACATCCCCCCCAGCAGACCAAACCCTATACAAATCCTACTCTCTCAAAAAAACTGTGAACATGCTACTGTTCCCTAAAAGCACCCCTTCCCTTTTGCCATGCTCTGTACCCCTTAACGCCAGACGTAGGCAATATGACTGGTCTACCACTGTCGTCGAGTATCCCAAAAACAAGCCCAACACCCACATCAACCCATCTCGTCCATACCCCTCAAATGTCCAGGTAGTCACGAGCGAAACCCGCCCAACCACCTTCCCCAGTATATCCTTCAAAATTCTGCAGTTCCACTGACGGACCATCACCCTCCCCAGCATTTTCCACACGATCCGGCATTTCCACTGACGAACCACCAAGACCCTCCTCATCAGTCTGCTCCATCCACTTCTCCACCTTCGTAAACAACTCCCCCCTCACCACCCGATTCGCCTCCATAAGCGCCTGCATCTGCTCCTCCTGCGTCCAATGCCCCGGATAATTTAATACCTGCTCAAAATCATCCTCTGCCCGGCCTCCCTGACCCTGGTACTGGCACATATCTGGGATATTGGGGAGTTCCACAGTGGACTGCTGCTGCTGTTGCTGCTGAGTGTACGCGTGAGATGCTAACAGCTCAGAGACTACGCTTGCAGCGGCATGTTGCGAGTTAGACCGGAAGGGAGGATGGGTCTGTTGTAGAATGGGGTTGTAAGGGTCGGTGAAGGTGTAGATACCGAGGCTCACTAGGTTTTGCTGCGGGTAAGGGGGTGTAGGCATCTGGGTGATGCCCATGCCTCTATACGGGAGGTTGGTTTGCAAGTTTGAGAAGGTCACAGTAGTGGATTGCGTCTGCTGCTGGATTTGGGATTGGCTTGACATGGTCTTAGGCGGTGGCGACATCTGTGCTTGTTGAGTCAATCCAGATTGCTGAGGTGACTGAGTTACATCCATGGGTTGTTGGTCAGACACCGCCCTGGATTGCCTCTGTATCCTACCATCACCAGTTTTCTTGCGTCGTGCTTGCTCTGTGACACGAGCCATAGAGGCATATCGGGAGATGACGTATGTATCGAGGTGAGTGAGCGTGATCTCAGTCCTCCCGATGTGATCCAAGATTATTTGAATGTCGTCTGGGAACATGAACACAGTAGTGCTGCCATCTTTACCATGCTTGCCGTTCTTCATCGCATAGTCGAGCGCACGCGTGAGATGTCCAGCATCATAGCCCTGAGGCAGCTTCTTCAGTCCGTCTGCGAGATTCTTGAATGGAATAGATGGTGGTGCTACATATCCATCCCTTGTTGCTGCTTCGGGAATGGCGTTCTCGATAGACATTACGGTCGCGTCCCAATCTTCTGGCGCCTTATGATTACGCCTTAACCAACCAGGCATAATTTTCCGCATAGCCTTGCGGTACTGGTCGGCAATGTAATCACGAGCGCGCTCTATCTCCTCGCCTGTATTAAGCTCGAGTCCACGGTACTCTTCCAGAATCATGATGTGAATGTTGGACGTGAGGCCGTTATTCAAGAAGCGCATCAAGATTTGGGGATTGCGAAACCAGTGAGGGAGCAGAACGAGGATTTCTACCATGGTCGCGTTGATGGTTCCTCCTGCGGGAAAGATGTACTCATGATGCGGCATGTCGAGCATGAAATGTGCACGATGCTTTCCTGTGGGTGGGTCATTGTGCGTCCGTGACTGGATGGCAGTAGGCACCGTGGGGTCATGAGAACGATCAGGAGGGTTCGCCACTGAAACTTCCTGTGATGTACCGTTGTTCGATAGAATATCGCAGTCCATCTTTTCAGGTGTGGCCGGTGTGCTTCCAGTGGGTTTCTTCAATGCGTCGGGGGAGGCTGACCCTTTGCTCACATGCGGATCGAGCAGAGGATCTGGAGAGACAAACATGTCTTGGGAGTTGGCTTGATTCACCTCCTTGTTGCTGCAAATCTGTGTAGATGTGGTATCAGAAAATAATAAAGGGTTGGAATTGTTCATGGATATTCTCCGATATCTTGGGATGTGTCAGAAATTGCTGGTTGGTTGTGCAATAGAGGTTATAAAGAACTAAGGTAGGAGTACAAAAGCGAGCTATTTCTATACGTAGGAGCACACAAAGTCCGGGGAGGTGAATCAGGCCAGTGTACGTGAAAATATCATCACGAGCTTTGACCCAGTAACAAACATGAGAGTGAATGGGTTATGATAGGTAGTGACTCTGAATGCTCGAAGTTTCCACTCACTGCTATCACTTAGTCATATTCACGTCTCGGACATGAATGCCATTTACCCAATGTATGCAATTGAGAGGCTTTAATGAAAATGTTTGCAAGCTCATGAAAGAGGAAACTGGACTTAACTGGAGACTCTCATTCCAAGACCGACTACATACATCCTGCTCATCTGTGTAGATAAGCGCGAATATCCCTGTGACCTATAGCTGCCATGAATAATCCCAGGCGTGAATCATCTCTCCAGAGGAACCAGAAAATCCTACATGTCCGACAGAGTCATGTCTCCATGAGCTCTTTTCATCTGTTGTGCCATCTCCGGTAAGGTCGATCACGTCCGCGTTCATTGCCGCTTGCTTCACTTTTCTGCGCCTTTCATCTTGATGCTCAGCCCTTATTATCTGAGTGCGCCTGTCCATCCTGACCTGCTGCTTTTCTATCACCAGCCGTTGTGCAAAGGTGCCGTTCGGTTCGTGTTGGCGATCCCAGTGGTTGAGGTAAACACGTTTGGCGTTGCGAGGATGTGTTCGAAGATTGATTTGCACAGGCTGGTTGAGCAGCGCCAACGGTCTTCTAGGACCGAATGGTCTGGGCTCAGTCTCCCACTCGTCATGCCATGTTTTGCTGATAGTCTTATCGTCCCTCATTGTGATTTGCGCACCCATCCTGATATCAGTAGGACGACCGGTCATCAGTTGTTGCGGGGCATGCCTGAGTTGTGATATTTGCATTTCGTGTGACATATTTGGTGGGTAAGGTCTAGTGTCGTAGCATGCAGGTGGAGCGAGTTGCTGATACGTAGATGCTGTAAGCACTCTTTTTGAATTTTGGGTCATTTGGAGCTCGTCGGACGGCTTCTTCGTTTTCTTTGTTCAAGATTGTATGGGGAAGGCGAAGTTCGTCGTTAGTCGTAATCAGTCGTCGTGTGGCGTTATATGGGCCTTGAGAGTTGTAAACCAAGACGCAACTTTAGTAGAGCGTTGTCGTATCTTCTGCTGTGCAGTTCAGTCCTAAGATTTCGCTTGTGAGTTCCCGATTGCGTAGCCGGTGAGGTGAAACTCTGGTATTGTGAGAGCAGACAAACAAACCACTCCTACAATGGTGGCCCGTTTCATAGTGATGTGAACTCAATGAGTGGCAATGAAATTAAAGACAAACGAGGCGATTGATGTGTTGCGTGACAAAGGAGTAGTTTTCCACTCTGTGCTCGATGGTGGTGGAGAAAGGTTCGCATGACTGTTTCGGAAAACGCATCATGACCGAAGTTCCCCATGGTTTGAAGGGTGCAGGTGCGGTAAAGGGGTGCTGGCGAACGCTACCCACCAATCAGGTACCGCTGGTTTCTTCGGGAGGAGCCGGGCGACAGAGGTACCAAGTTTTCGATAGGAGCACATGCCCGCATAACACGCAATAGAAGTTATCACTAGTGGTTGAGGAAAGCAAAGTGTGGAGATAACAAGAGCACAGGGTGCGGTGATGCAGAACGGGAAGTTATGGGTCACGGATATGTGGCTACAAAGGCTTCAAGCACAACCAGTAATAAACACATCAAAGCCCAGGCTATAGACTAGAAACGCTACACATGCAGACGAAACAAGTCCTAATTAGTCCCTGCGGTCGATCAATGGAGTCCGAGCACGTGACGACACAAAGTGACCTGATCCCACCATGTCCAAAAGAAGCTATGTCTCGCGATTGATCAGCGCTGTTGATCTTAAACAACGGCTCAGTTTGGTGTTCCGGATTCATGTGGGGAAATTTCGGGCGCGTGCGGAGTAAGTGTTTGTTGCACGGTCAAGCGGTGAGTTCAATCGATTTGAGCTGATCCAAAATGTGCTCTGGTATCCTAAACTCATTGAAAAAAATTCGGTTGGTTATTCTGGCATTCTAGCATTCTTCCATTCCAAGCCCTTTCTGGAGATTGTGCTGTGCTGCTGAATGACATGCCGGGTATCATATTTGATTGTCGACATCACCCTCGGTTGAAAACCTGGGCAATGCCACATGTCTTTTCACCATCAAATGGCGTTCATCGCTTTGTTTTGGAGCCCTTGGGTCGGCCGCAATAGCTCTTAAGAGTGCGTGGAACTAAACCACCGCGTGGAAATGGCACCTTTTCCGCATAATGCTTTGTTGTGCCCTTGGGCCGGCCTCTGGGTTTGTATGTAGCTTCTTTTTCGGCTTGAAGGGTTGTTTTGTTCTTGGAACCTTTTGGACGGCCTCTGGGCCTCGGTCCAACTGTTTCAGTAGCTTCAACACGTGATTTTGTCTTGGAACCTTTTGGGCGCCCTCTACCTCGTTTCTCCCCCTCAACAAGAGTAGCAACTCTGGCAACTTTGACGACTTCGTCGTTGGCTGGGATTAGTCGCATGAGGCTAAGCGTCTCCTGATCCAGATCCTTCCTCTCTGGGAAGATAGGCGAGCCCATCCATGTCAACTGAATGTCCCTCCTCGTGCCAGCATTCTTGAACTTGGCTGGGCGCTTCTTCGCTGTGCCAGATCCATCTTGCTCAGTCTCGTGTTCGGCGTCGGGCAATAGAATCCGTGGCGTGTGCCTCACTGTAACACCCACGCCTTCCAACCCCCGGTCACACGCCGCACGATTCCAGACAAATTGCTGTATTAAACCTTGCTGAGAGATCAAGACGAAGCCCATGGGCCAATGGCTGTGGCCCACAGCTTCCAACACCCCTCTCGTGGCCTTCTTTGTCGTTACCAGTAATCCAAGCACATCCTTCTTGGTCCAATCAGGCGGTATGCCGCAAAAGGAGCCCTCGAGTTCGCGGATATGGCTGGGGTTTACCGAAATCTTGCGCGCTTTGCACTGGATGATGACTGGCAGCGGCTCCCTCAATGGGGCCAAGACCCAGTGGCCGATGAGGTCAATGCCTGCATCCGAGGTGCGCCCTATGCGTAGCAGCGAAAAGCCTAGGCGCATGAGGGCGAGCGCGCTTGTGTACTCGTAGTGTGTGCCAATGAACATTGTGCTATCCGATGCTAGATTGGTGCGCTTTGCATAGTCGATGAAAGTGGGCAGTGAGTTATGGTGAGGAGAGCCAGGCGAAAGCACCATCTTGGGGAGGTCAACCGGCGCTGCATTATGGGCTGAAGTGGTTGCGATGCGGCGGGGGACGCGGTGCGGAGGTGCTCGGGGAAGCCATGCGAGTAGCGAAGAGTTTGTGGGCCATGTCGGGCGGAGGGAAGGTCGCATTACGGTATCCTAGAAGAACAGAGAGGGCGGAACATATTTACAGCCGATGGCAGTGGGTGAAGCGCAGGCCGAGTGTGGTGGGCGTGAGCGTGGGAAGTACTGGTATGTCAGGTGGGCGCGGTGAGGATTGGCCCGTCTCCATAGTAATTTTGAGGGAGACGCTAGTCGGCTAGCTGCGTCTTGGTGTCTAGGTACATGCTACATGTATACCTGCACTACACTACATCAACCCCACTCGCCCGCCTCTCTTACTTGGACGACACACGCTCCGACATAATGCACGACATTTTGACCCAGATCCAGGATGAGCTGGACATGGTACTGCAATCCACGCAACGAAGAAACACCGCACAGCCATGCTGATAGCCCCAGCTCCTCAATCAAATGGCAGCTGCTCTCCGCCAAATAAGAGAGAATGCGCCCCCAAGTGTACCCCCAGGCCAACAGCGCCTCGATAGTTTTGCCGAATTGGAAGCCCGTGAAGCTGCGCAGCACAATGCCGCAAACGATCCTTCCCAGCCACCATTTGCGCCGCCCCCCAAACCCTCACCAGAGCAGTTCCAAGCAGATATCAAAGAGCTAGCACAGGACATTACACTCAAGGAGCAGCAAATCGAAAAATTGATCGCGCATCTGCCAGGTCTAAACTGGAGTGAGAAGGAACAGGTGGAGAGGATGAAAGAACTTGAGAGGCAGCTGGAAGACCTGGAGAGTGATAGAGTCAAAGCAGTCAAAGAGAAGGAGATGTTGATGAAGATGGTCGAAGATAAAATTGCAGGTGTGGGGAGGGTCCGATGAGCCTGCTACCCGCCATGTCCTCCATTACGATTAAGAAGAGAAAAAACCACGAGAGCCTCAGATAGGTTCTCTCTGCCTCGTTCGTCCAGGATCTTATGAATTTCCTGCGCGCCTCCAGTCCTGCATTACGTCCATCAATAGCCACATGAGGCATCAGAGTAAAAAATGTTCTCCAAACCATCCGCATCAACTTTGCTTTGGAGAAAAACCAGCCGACATTATATCCACCCAGCATCCCGATCCTCCCTGTACGTAAAATCCTCGCGATAGACAAAATTCCTCGGAACAATAATACAACCACCCGGCACATTCATCTTCACCCTGACCATACCGCACTCTCGTAAGAAAAGACTGTCCGACGCTGCTGCCGCTGCCGCGGCCGCGGCGGCGGCTTCCTTCTGCTGATAGATGACAGCTTCCTCAATGATGCTCTTTCCCTGTGTCTCAGTCTCACTCCTCTCGTCATCCCCTTCTTTTCCCTCTTCCGCCTCAGCATCGACCCCAGCCTCCTTCCTGCTCTGCTTCGTAAAAACTCTCGTAACAAAACCTCCGAATCGCGACTCCGCTGGCTTCCCCATCGCTACGCGCCGCGCAACCCTTTCTTCCTTCGCACTCTGATGGGCCCCGCCTTGCGGGCTCTGTACTTGATGCATCTCGTGAGTGTCGCGATAACTCCTCTCGTCGGTATCGTCGAATAGTCCGCTGGCTCCTCTATGCGAAACCTTTTGCTGGCTCGTCGGCCGGGGAGGCAAGTCATACTCGTCTATCGCCGCCATTCTTGTGTACTGCGACGCCCGGTGTCGCTGTTGGGATTGTGTTCGTGCGTGTACTTGTTGTTGTTGGGGAAACACAACATGGCGGGGATCCGAAGGATACGCTATAGCCACTGTTGAGGCCATTGATTTTGCGAAAATAGTATATTCAAAAGTAGAAGGAAAAAGTAAGAAGGATTTTTTATGTTGAGATTATGCTCAAATGCGAAAAGTACCTGACCGTTGACCTCTGCTGCTTTTTTTTCTCAAGAGGGGGGATACAGCACACTACATACTGTCAAAAAAACGCCAGATGACCTGCCCGGGAAATGAAATGAAAATGGCTTGCCTGTCAGAACTTAATCCATTCTCCTCCCCCCCCCAATTTTGCCAACATCTGCCATCACACACATCACCTGCTACCACCCTCACCACCACACTGCAAGTACCGCGACGAAAAGAAAAGAAAAATCTCCGGATTAGCACCGGCTTTCCAAACTATCCACAACATCCCCTTGTCTCCTCACCATCTCTCCCCTCCCCATTTTCCTTGCCCAACCACCATCCCCTCCCCAACCCAGTCGTCTTTCCCCCACCTCAAGACGGGGGTGAAAGCTTATTCCCACCTCCCCCTCCCTTCCATGCATGCCTCACCTCTTCTCTGTTTCACTCCACCGCACATACCCTTACCTCGCTGTTTTCGTTTCACCGTGACATCTCCCCCCCACACACACGCACTGTCGATCACCGCGGCATCCGCACACGCACATCACCATCTCTCTTTTGCCTTGTCCCGTTTTTAATAACCCTTTCGGGGTTCATTGGGGGGGGGGGGAAGGGAAACGGGGAAAAATTAAGACATGTCGATCATTTCTTTTTGATTTTGATTTTGATTTTGATTTTCTCCCATGATACTAGCGCTACGGACGGACTTTTGTGTCCGGCCGTAAGTATCGTAAGCATGACTGCGTGAAGGGGAATACTTTAAAAAAGGGGGGGAGAGAGAGGGGAAATCGAGATTAAAAGCTGCTATTGCGGCCGGCAGTGATGGTGGTGGTGGTACTGCCGCTGGGGAAAAAAGATAAGGCGAGATGTTGAAATTGCTCGATTTCTGAAAGGGGAAAAAAGAGAGTTTGTGGGAGTGTCGTTGCGCTGTCGGGCTAACGTGACAGTGGCGGGGTGGACGTGTCTGACTCGCTTCTCCTCCCTTCTTTCTTCCTTTTACCTCTTCTAGAGCGAACAAAAAAACAGGCGTGATTCTTTTTTCCTTTTTGCATGGTTTTTTTTGAGTGTAGTACTGGGAGGATTATCGGGATGAACATGAGTTGGCAAAGATCTCTATAATCCCAAAGCAGACCACAGGATCTCGGGTAGTGATGCTATTCCGAGGTACAAGCACAAATAAACAACATAAGAAAAAGCCACCAAGCACCATAAACACAGAGCTTCAAGCCACTGATATGGATACACAGGTACTAACAACAGGGGGTGCCAGCCACACACGTCTAGCCCCGCTTGAATCGCATCAGGTTCTAAAAATACATGTATGCAAATGTACATCAACTCCAAAGTCTGGACTGACGCAGCTGCCTCAAGGCGAGCCAAATCTCAACTTGAGCCTCAGCCTGACCCCACAACTAATAATCAAATCTCTCCGGGAGCACGAGTGGCGCGACCAAGGTCCAGGTGTAGATGCCATAGCACACCCATGCGCTGATGATCTTAGCCCAACTAGCCCAGTAGGTGCGACCGACGGGTACAAAGCTACCGGATACGTCCTTCTCGTCAAAGTTGGTAGTGAGTAGAGTAGCGACCCAGGTTGTGCTGAGGAAGAAGATGACGTGGAACAGCGTGTAGTTGTACTGTGTCGCGTTGCGCTCATCGTCACGTGGGTTCTTCTTGTTGCAGGGACCTTCATCCTCGTCGTCGCTGTCCGAGTCATCAAGCGCAGAGGCGGGAAGGGAACCAGATTCTACGGCAGCCCGGAGTGCGGCCTGGCGCATTTCACGACGAGATTCGGGCTGTTGGGTAACGAGACCGTGTTCGTAGTCCTCGGTACCGATCTGGGCATATCCGTTTCCGTGAGGGTTGCCCTGGGCGCCAAGAGCCAGGCCGTACGTTGCTGCACGAGTGGTGGTGTATGCAACGGTAACAAAGGTAACAATTGCGCCAATGATGATGGTCGCCTTACGGGTACCGCGAGCACGGATCAATGGATTGCACTGATGATCATCGGGCTCCATTCCAACAGCGGACATGGTGAGGTAGGTGCAGTAAATGGCCACAATGGCAGATTGGGCGAGACCAGCGCGCGGGTTTACGTCCTGTACCGCAGGGTGAATAGAAGCGACGGAAGAGATCAGGAGCAAGATGAGGTTGATCTATGAATGTCAGTCATATCCTGCGTTGGCGCAAAACTCGACGTACCGTAATGGCTGCCTGATTCATGCCGCATCCGCTCTTAGCAAAGTAAATGTACATGACAATCGTCATGGCAAATGAAGCAAGGTACATGAACAAGGCGCTACCGACAAGCATACCAGTCCAGACACGCGAATCGGTGGTCTCGATCTTTTCCTGGCAGTATTCGGCCCAGTTATGCGCCAAGTCCACAAGCAGGATCAGTCCGATGAGGAGGAACAGGCATGCGCCGACCATGGCAAAGTAATTTCCCCATACAATGAAGAATGAGTTGGGAATGAAGAATGTCAGGACAATCATGCCGATCCAGCCAAAAATCTTGGGCAGCCAAAAGCCGTTTTGTATAGTTGCGCGCGGATCCTTTGAAGTCTGCACTCCAATGAGCATTAGGGCCATGATGACGTGGAAGAAGCCGAGAGCAAAGTTGATGCGCTGCACCGCAACGTAGCCGTAGCACTGCTCTCCAAGACATTTGATGTCGACGTAATCGAGGGTAAGGTGTGCCAGCTTCTTCATGGCCCAGTCGGTGAGCATGATCCACGAAACAATCGAGTTGATGAGCAGGATGAGCGCGTATGCAATACGGGTGGCGATGCTATAGACTGTCAGTATACATGCATCGACGCATGCATCTGTACACCCACCTGTTGCCGCATTTTCCTCCGCAAGAGCCCATGACAGCGCTACATGTTGCAGCGCCACAGCAGGAGGCGGCGAGGCTCCAGACCTGGTGATGTTAGCAAGGCGCGCAAACGTGATGGAGCACGCGACGTACGGTGCTCATGGCCGGCATGGCCAGAAAGGGAACGGATAGTAATGCGCCCATGGTGGTGATGGTCGCTGGGATCGCGTATGGAGGGTGGATGGTGGTGGAGAATCTGGAGAACAGGCACGAGGGCGAGGCCGGTGACGTTCGTGTCCAGCTGCGGCTAGTACTGCGCCAAGCCGTGCCAGCCCATCTTATCTCCGACGCCCATTGCTGCATCCGGCCTCAACACTCGCTCACACCCCTCGGTTCAGTTTCCCAAGGCCTGTCCGACTTGCTTCGTCGAAGAGTCGTGTAGGCTGCATTCTCCGTCATTCTTTTCGTGCATCTTATCTTCGTCTCCATACTTATCTTTCGCGCGCCCCTTGTTTGCCTCGGCATATCAAGTGCCGACTATCACTACTGCGCAACTCAAGATATCGCGCATTTGATGACCTGCGCGCTGCAATAACACCTTCTCTCCACTGACCAAGATGGTCGCCGATACAATGCCTCCAACACACAAGAAAACGCGCATCGTGTCCGTCGTCGCTGCTACTCTGATCGCCCTTGCCTGTGGCACAAACGTATGTCTCCCTTACAAAGGGCGGCCAAAATGCTAACGCCCCTCAGTATGCCTACTCAGCATGGGCGCCACAGTTCGCCGATAAGCTCAAGCTCTCTGCTACCCAGAGCAACATTATCGTACGCTGCCCTCAATCCTACAATCGACGTATATCCCTCCTTACAATCCTTAGGGAACTGCCGCGAACCTGGGTATGTATGCCGCCGGCATACCCATGGGCATGATAACGGATCGGAAGAGTCCAAGACTTGCTGCTATCATCGGAATGTTTGCACTCTTTGTGGGATACTACCCCATCAAACTGGGTACACCACCTCGCCTTTTATTGTCAAGATTGTGTCTGACTGTTGCCAGCATATGATGGAGGTCCTGGCTACATGAGTGTAGCCTTGATATCCTTTTGTTCTTTCTTGAGTGGTGTGGGCAGCTGTGCTGCTTTTCAGGCTGCTTTGAAGACCGGTTCGCTCTCCGTCAACTTTCTATGAATTCATATTGACCGTTGTCAGCTACTCTCAACTGGCCAACTCACCGTGGATCGGCTACGGCATGTCCGCTGGCTGCTTTTGGCCTCAGTGCTTTCTTTTACACGCTGATCACCGGCATTGCATTCCCAGGAAATACCTCCGGTCTACTTACGATGTTATCTTTTGCAACTTCGAGTCTCGTACTAGTATCGATACCCTTCCTTATCGTCGTCGACCATAAGGCTGGCGCAGGCTACGCAGTGATACCCACTAGCGAGCGTACACGGCGTGACTCGAATGTGCTTCACACGACAAAGTCCAGCACTAGCACCAAGTTCAAGTCCTCTGCTGTGCCGCAACAGGAGACCAGTAAGCACCCCATTTCTCATCTATCCACACCCTTTTTTCCCCTTGTCATTTGCCAACCACTTCTAGCAGCCGAGGAAGAGCAAGACGGCCCCTCTACAGAAGTATCGTCGCTTCTGTCATCTGTTCCCGGCGACATTGTCGACGATAATTCCGAAGCCGTAAGCAAGAAGTCGGCTCACTCTTCAACAGATGTGACTGGACTGGCTCTGCTACGTCGACCGGAGTTTTGGCAACTCTGGGTTCTCATGGGTCTTTTGTCTGGTGTTGGCCTCATGACCATCAAGTATGTTCGACTGTACCTGGGCACTATATTACCGCTGACTTGTTTAGCAACATTGGTCATGACGTGCAAGCACTGTGGAAATTCTGGGACCAGAACGTTGCTGATGACTTCCTCGCTCACCGCCAGCTGTGGCACGTCTCTTTGATCTCGCTTTGCTCCTTCCTCGGACGACTCTCGTCTGGTATTGGTTCCGATGTCATCGTGAAGCGTTTGAACCACTCGCGCTTCTGGTGCGCTGCAATTTCGGCCGCGATTTTTGCTCTTGCCCAAGGCGCTGCGATCCGTGTCGAGGATCCCCATTACCTATGGGCAGTTTCTGGGCTCTCTGGTCTCGCATATGGAGTCTTGTTTGGCGTTTTCCCTGTGCTGGTTGTTGACGCTTTCGGGCCGGATGGTTTCGCTGTCAATTGGGGGTTCATGACTCTCGCACCCGTCGTCAGCGGCAACGTGTTCAATCTGTTCTACGGCACGGTCTACGACTCCAACTCGATAGTGGAGCCCGACGGCCAGCGTGGTTGCGAGGTGGGACTTTCGTGCTACCGCACCGCATACTACGTCACCCTCACATCGAGTGTGCTGGGCATCTTTGCCTGTTTCTGGGGTATCTACGGCGAACATTCGAGGAAGATGCGGGAACTGGAGGAGCATGAGGGCCACCGGGATGTGTGATTGTCGGGATCTTTGTCGATCTAACACGTGCATATTCTCCCTAGATTCATTAGATTTAGAGTTAGATTTTAGAACACCTACGCGAGCGCTACGTACTTGCAAACTAGCTGCAATAGCGCCTATTCGCGCTTTCCGACTTCGAGAGCCTATGAAACACTGGCTGTGATATCCGAGTAAGCGTCGAGTATGTGAATGGCTGGACGAGATCCCAAGAGGACTAGGTTATGAATACGACATAAGTCGAGTGCTGGTCCCTATTTCGTCATCACGTCTCGAACATTGGATACATGAATAATGTGTACATAGTAGTTATGCATTGACCAGGGTGGCGTGGTACCAAGAAAGATGTGCGTCCTTTTGCTTCTTTCATGTTCGACGAGAGACTAACTTGCAGGTTTTGACGTACCAACTGACGGAACATAGTCGGGCTTACCTCGAGTCGGTGCATATACCTGTACTACTCTACTAGAGACCTGCCACAGACGTGATGGAGGCGGGCCAGCCAATGCGGGGCGATGAGGTTCACGTCGGGTGGGATTAGCGCGCGTGGCACGCGACCCCGCCAACGCCGCCCGGAGCCCTGCATATCATATCGGTCCTGCGGCTGTGCAAGGCAAGTGGCGACGGCCTGACAACCGCCCGACTGTTGTCCCCTGTACTTGGAGTCCTCCTCATTCTTCCACTCACATCCCTCTGGTGGAGCTATAAAACACATCATCCCAGCATCGACGTTCCTTCATTCACTGTTTCCCCAAAAGATCTGTTCCCTCCAGCAGCACCCGCTGTCCGGGTAGTTTCGCGAAGATGCCTGCGCCACTAGCCAAAGGTGAGTTACTTATGAGCACAACTCTCCACTTAATGCACGCTTAACTTCGTGTTCCCCGTCTGGGCTCACGATGCTATTCCCTATTCCCCATTCCCATTACCCATTCCCCGTGTTTTTCTGGTTCGTTCCCAAGTCTTCTGCCAACCTGCTTGCAGGCACCGGCCCACGCTCAGCTCCTCCCTGCCATGGAGCTACCACCCCACCATATCGTCCTAACCACCCCTTGACATCAGGCCTTATAATCGCCGCATCCGTTATTGTCGCCGCCGGAATCGCCATTTACGAATCGCCCCAGGTCCGACAATGGGCTGACCAGACGCGCCGTAAGATTGCCCTTGCGCTGCATAACCTTGGCGACGACATTCAGCCTCGCCGCCCCAGCGAAACGTCTGATGATTTCGAAGAGAGGAAGCGGAGGAGAGAGGAGTTGGTTCGGAGAAATAGGAACGAGCTGATCAGGAGAGCAAGAGAAGAGGGAATTGCCGTGGATCTCGACGAGTTGGCCAAGATTGGGACCGAGACTGCTGAGGTTGCCGCGCAGCGATCGAGGGCAGATCGCACCAAGAGCTTCGACGACATGGTTGGCAGCGACGGTACTCTCAAGAACAAGGCAAACACGACTGGCACAGACTCTGCAAAGGGCGACATCAGGAAACGCGGCGTGGCCGGCTTTGCCGCCGGCTCTGCTGCGGCGGCTGTCCTTGCAAACCCATTCGACGATGACGCCACTCTCCTGGACAACGACCACCACGACGAAACACCTTCCACTACCACTCAAGCTAATACCTGTGAAAGCTCTGCAACCGTCCAACCCGATACCACATCCACCCCAGCTGCTGCTACCCTCGTCGACCTAACCCCCACCCCTGACGTCCCATCTTCTACCGCCCAAGCCCAAGTCCAAGCCGACGAAGCAGACCAAGCCGCCCAATCTTTCTACTCCATCGCATCCTCTTCATCGCCCCTCGACGAGCCCCTCGCAGAACCCCGCCCCTCATCCCCCTCCCGCCTCTCCACCGGCACCCTAACTCCCCGCTCCGAACGCTCCATGACCCTTGCCTCCGCCTCTGCCGCCTCCATCCGCGCCGACGACATTGGTATACTCAGCATGCAAAACGACTCGGATCACGATGCCCGCTCTGAAATCTTCTCTGAGGGTGGCTTCACAGACGCCTTTTCAGAAGGCGGCTTTAGCGAGTTTGATTCTGAGAATCGAGCTGGTATCATGACGCCGAGTGAGTGGTCGCATATCGGCAGTGATGATGAGAGTGAGTGGGGGAATGGGCATGTGAGTCAGGTGCATCAATAGATGTGCGCTAGTCTTGCATGGGCTTGAAAGGATGTATAGCCGTGCGATGTTTGTTTTTTTCCTCACCTTGGATGTCAAAATGATATAGGGAGCACTCATGGTGTTCTTGGGTCTTTCCTTGCGTCGTTTCTTCGTCTTAGTTTTCGGTTTCTTGGGATTTCCTTGGCAGATTGGGAAGGGATCGGGCTACATGTATGGCGTTTTCTTTTCTTTTTTTTAACCGGGTAACAACTGCATACCTCCTTTTTCTTCTTCTTGTTTCTCCTTTGTACAAGTAGAAAGGGAATATAAGATCTACTCTTCTCTGATCTCTTTGACCAAATTGCGTCCGTCTTCCCTTTTTTTTTGTTGGGGGAAGCGAAGGGGACGCAGATGGATACGTCCGTTGTGGCACGCGCTCTTAATCGACTGCTGTATCGAAACTTGTCACCCCCCCCTCTCTTCTTTACCACAAATAGTAAAGTCACGCAATGGACTCAAAGTGCGTTTTACCCAGATATTCCGTATCTAGAAATAAACAGTCCGCTACTTTGTAAGTGTTCTAGACCATTGTCGTGAATCTGACTCGCTCCTCACACGAACTGAGATTATGATTTAAACTGATATTAACCCTCCTCCTTACCCAGAGAAGAGCCAGAAGAGCTGGAAGATAGATGCTTAGAAGTTTTCCTGGGCGTGGTGGGATACGAGAGATCGGCAACAAAACGCATACTGTCCAAACTTCCTACCGTACGGGGGTATGGGTGGGAAATATGAGTTTGCAGGTAGAGTATTGTTGATCTGGGTTGATTACGGAGAGGGATGGTGCTTGGTAAATTGGATTCTTTCTTGCTTAATCACTGTTTCATGAGTGGGGGAATTGATGTGGGGCTATGAACTGATTCATTTCTTTAGGGGGTATCGTAAGTGCTAAATACTGGGGGAAAGGGCAGTGGATGTAGTGTGATAGCAGTAAATGTGATGGTGGAACGCATGACATATGCTGGGGAGAGGACAAACTTCCTCCGAAATCGTCTGTGATTCGCTTTGATTGTTGGAATCATGATAAAAGTATCCATCTGTGTCTTTGGGCATGAATCCTATGTGAATGTGGGTACTGGGATGAAATCATAGGGAGTTGAATATGATGGGGAATTCTGGACATGCTTGAATCGACTGGGGATTTGGATTGGAAATGAAGATGACTGGGCCGGGGCTGGTTGATCCAATTGTTGATGTATGTCGGAGTATGGATCAGCTGCGCCTCTCAGAGCTTTGTTGTAGGTCCAGGATAGATAGGCTCTGAATCATCTGACTGAATGTTGCTCATTGAGAGCAGCGGGCGTGCTTTGGAGCACTCACAAACTGCCGTCTTCTTATTCTTATCATCGGCCGGCTCATGATTAGTACGCTGGCGCTTGGTGTTGAAACACTCACCCTGAGCAGCAGAGGCCGAGAACAAGTCTGGAAGCCACATCTTCTTGTTCCAGTCCCAGACCCAAGGCTGGCCACTATGTTCAACACTTCGGACCGGATAACCAGGGTCAATCATGTGGCTTTGCTTGCCATCCCAGGGCCAGACTCCCGTAACTCTCGATTCGAGAATACCGCCGCAACAGAGCCACTCGTAGTCGTGTCCTTGAGCGCAGATTACATCTCTGCTCTTGTTGAATTTGGGCTCCGCCACCTTGAGGTTCGACTTGCGAAGTTCCGTGATGGATATCCACATATCCGCACCGGATTTCTTCAACTGCTCAGGTGTGATAGTACGGTAATATCGATCCATTGCTTTCTGATGGATCCAAACGGGAATGTCGACATGTCGAGAGTACTTTTTGATCTTCACGCTCTCTCCCAGAACGAGGCTTTTGGTGAAAACTTTGACAGTTGTTTCGCACTCTGCCCGTATAGTGGCAGGAACGAGGCCCTTAGTATGCATTTTGGCGATGCTTACACGCTGTCCGATGCGCTGACTCCTCTCGTAATGAAAATTTGCCTGTCTCTCTGCATGACCTTGAAATATGTTAGTCCAGGCTTATCTGAGGTAGGCACTTGAGCATAACACGTACCGATACCGTTGAAAACCGATATATATGCAGATGGGATCTTCTTTTGATTCCATACGAGGTGCCTCTCGATTTCCTCCAGGAACATGTTCTGGTCAAGGGAGAAAACAGCAACAGCCTGGAAGGCGTTGTGATCATCCATCTTTAGATCCTTCCTCTTACGATGCTTCACGTGGGTATTGACAGTCACATAGCGACTCAGAGTGGCTGAGGTTTCGTAGAATGTCCGGTAGAAACTCTCTGGCAACAAACTGTTTTGAGCGCGCATATTCTCGTCCTGAGAGTCGAATGTACTACTTTTGGTAAGTATTTTCGGGACACAGATCTAAGATTGTGAGACGTGCATATCAATGGTACCCAAGAACTGGGATTTGACTTCTCTTCGCTGGTTTTCCATTAGATCACCCGTGAAGTGAGGATCATGTTCTTCTTCGTGATCATCAGGAGTTGGTTGCTTGGAGGCAGTAGGCGCCGCTGGCTGAGAAGCATCTGAAATATGTGAAGCTTCTAATTCAGAGGCTGAGTCAGATACGTCTTGTCCATGGATCGGGCTTGCGTATGCCGCTTCGGAAGCTGGTGCTGAACGCTCTTCAAGCGTATGTGTATGCACAGGAGATGCGGACTTTAACAAGTTCATACTGGAAGCAGGTAGTGACTAGGATAGACTATGAATGAATTTGAAATAGTACAGAGTAGAGAAGAGGAGGAAAGGATGAGATCTCAGTTTCATGGTTTATATATCCAGAGGGAAGACTGGTGCCGCACCAGAGCGCTAAAGGTGAGAGTCTGAGGAAAAGGCAGAGCGTGGATGGGTTGAAAAGTGGGAGAAGAAGCTACTACCAGGGATTCATGGAGAGATGTATGCAGATATCCAATTTCAAATTACGAGTAAGTTTTGCAAACCGGCCACTGATACTAAATTTCAAACTCAGATGGGCATCCTGATCTGGAAGTGAGAGAATGTAATCCTGAATAAAGACCAATAGTGCATGAAGCCGAAGAGATCCTTCTCGATGACAATGGTTGGTAAAGCCATGGCAGACACGATTACCGGGCCCGGCCTGGTGCAAGTGTACATTTATCTCTTGAAAACGTGGGCGGCGAGAGAGGGGGTGTGAATTCTCCAATGCGATTACTGGAAGACAACACGGTGGTACTCAAAATATCAGGAAAATTTCAATTCCTTGGTAAGTTTGCCTTTATCTGACTCTGGACAAGATATCATCTTGTGGAGTGGGGCAGAAGAGGTGAGGTCGCAAGGCGTAGTATGCAGTCCCACCGCCAAGCACTACGCGTGTCTGATTGGTGGCCGCAACCGCGTCTCAGCGAGCTGTCACCTGCGACACGCAACTCACAACCGCTCCACGGGGGCATTTCCAGATTGGATGACCTTTCGAACCTCGCCACAGCTACAATGAGCTCGTCAATAGAGACGGAGATATTGAACAAATACAATCTCACGACGCTGTACCCCGCAGTATGGCCCGAGGAGAAGGATGCTGCCGATGAAGACGAGGAGTATGTCGAACCAGCGACCAAAGTCACCCAGAAACCTGTTCGCCGATCGCAGTCGCGCTTCTCTATACTAGAACCCAGCCCCCGATTCTCGCGGCAGATTCCCGGAGCAGAGCGGTCCAAGGATGGCGTGGAGACGCTGGTGCAGAAGGATGAACAGGACCCGTTGGGCATGTATCCCAGTGTAGTGCAGGTGCTGCGAGCCAAGAACGTGCAGGTCGAGGATGATATCAAGCTGCGTATGTTTAAAAAATATAGCAATACACATGGGGCATGTCTAATGGCCCACAGGCAACCGCTTCCTCTTGAGCTCCACTACCTTCTCGCCCTCCCTCTTCCTCTCCCAAGTCCACAATGAAGCCTCTACAGATGCCCTTCTCTCCGGCCTTGACTTCCTCTCTCGCTCTATTGAGAAGAAGTCAGCCTCACTCAAGGTTCTTGTCGAGTCCAACTTTGATCGTTTTGTAGGCGCAAAGGCTACCATTGACCGCGTATACAACGAGATGCGCGCCCAAGGGAAAGACCAGTCGGAGTCGCTCAGTGCCCCGCCACAAGGTCGCGCAAGAAGCCGTTCCAGCTTCTCTGGTCGCAAGTCGAGCGCGAACCTCTCATCAGGCATGATCGACGCCGTGCCCGCGGAAAAGAGGAAGAATGCCTTGGTCAAGGAAAGCGAATATGGTGTGCAAGGCATCAAGGTCCCGCTGACTGAAGTTGCTGTCAAAGCAGAGGAGGTGTGGGGTCCTGCGCTAAATGGCCGAGAAAGAGAGGAGACACTCAAGTCCATATTAGAATCTGTGGAACACCATCGCGGCATGTTTGAGGTTGGGTCCGCTATAGAGGAGGCAATACGCCACAAAGATCACGAGACAATTGTAGAGGAATACAAGCGCGCGCGCAAGTATGCAGAAGAAGCCCGGTACATTACGGAACAAGCGACTTCTGCACAGACACCACTCACCGACGCCGAGATACACCAGGTCATTGTTACAGCAAGAATGTGGTCGGATGTGGAGCGACAGATTGAAAGGTTTAAGCGAGATTCGTGGAAACGCCTTACGGCGACGCACTTCACAAACCTGCAAACTGGAAGTGAAGAAACCAAGTCGGACGAGTACCTGGGCATCATTTCAATCTTGCTCGAACTGGGTGTTGAGGAAAATCCAATCTGGGCATGGCTAATCTCACGATATGAGCACCTCAAACTGCACATCAACTCTACCTGTCAGCGTTCAGTCGTTGAAATCGAGATCCTTCGCCGCCATTTGGTTCACGGTGAAAAGCCGAGCCTACGTTTACTGCAAAAACATTTACGTTCGGTTCCGACTAGCAGCAATATCAGTGCTGAACCATCGAAGTTGGACACTCCTAAAGTGATCGAATTTTGGGAGCATGTGTATGCTTTGATGAACACCCTTCTCTCCACAAAAGGCGGGTTGTTAGGGGAGCTTATCGAATACTGGGAGATTGCTCAATCTTTCCTCTCTGGACGCGCGCAGAGGAATTTGCCCACAGGTCATCACGGCCAGTCATCTGTACATCATCGACTGAGTAGCGAAAACAAAGCCGAGCTGGAGAGGGGCACCACGGAGCTCATTGGTATTCTCCGAGATCATCTGTTTTCATTCTTTTCAGACCCACCTATCGAGGATGTGTCACTTCTCTTCTCGCCATTACCACCAACAACCCCTACACCGACAACACCTGGAACACCAAGAAGCGGTATTCTGAGTCCTACATCAGCGACCCGGTCACGATTTGATCTCAGCAAAGTGCCACCACCATCACCCAGTCGAGGTGAAACATGGGAGAAGTATGCCTTCTGGCCTCCCCACTCTAATGCTCTCTCGGGGTCCCATTATCTCTCCAAGACTCTTGTTCTGATTGGCACTGCGGCCAATGAGTTGGCGTCATTACAAGTACCAGAGCCTGGAGGCAGTGGGCGCGTTGATGAATCCTTGCGTCTACTGCTGGGTGGAGTGCGTGAGCGCTCTGTGCAGGCTGTATGTGCAGCCTGGAATACCGATGCAGAGAAACTCAAAGTGCTTGAGGACTGGACCCGCCATGTTGATCGCAAGGATGTTACAAATTTGCCTCAGCGCTTCCTAGCAGTACAGAGTTTCCTGCTGAATAATCTTCAGAAGATACTCTATGTCGAGGCATCGAGCAAGACCAAGATTGATGTGGTCGTACCGCCGAGCAACAAACTGCTGCAGATGGTCAGAAGCCAGTTCGTGACGAGCTTGTACAGAACACTGAGCGGTATGGTTGAATGTGCCGAAAGAGGCAGAAAGGCACTTGGCGACGAATTCGAGGTCAAGAGCGATGACCTTACCATTGACGAGCAGGAAGACCATACTGGAAATGAGTGGGGCAGAGTCGATGCCAACAAAAAGGTAGGATCCCTCAACTATTGCAAAGAATGTATTAGTCTAACAACCTGTAGTCTATTCGACTCCTCTTGACCCTCGCCAACATGTCCGCCTTCCAATCAGAAATAACACCAACCCTTCTCAACCTGTTCGAAACCCTCTTCAGCGTTCAACTCACCGACGAAACAAACCGCATCCGCGACGTCCTCTCCCAACTCGACTCGCAACTCTTCCGTTCCTACACCAAACCCCACGCCACAAAAATAAACTCAACAATCCAATCCGGCATCTTCTCCCCAGCCTGGGCTCCCCCTCCCGGCCCAACCCAAAAATCCGTCGCAGACCGCGACCCAAGCCCTTACGTCTTCTCCGTCCTCCTCGACCTCGTAATCGTGCACACGGAATCCAGCACCACCTCCGCCCCTCTCACTCCGCGCATCCTGCGCTCCCTCTTCGAATCCACCACCGCCTCCCTGATCCAAACATTCCAGTCCGACAACATTCCCGCCATCTCCCTCCCGCAACTCATGCAAGCAACCCTCGATGTGGAGTTCATGGCGCAAACGCTGTCAGCGTATACGACCGAGCAGGCATCCCAGATTCAGACGGATATTTATCAGGTCCTTGATCAAAAGACGGATAATGCGGCCAGAGTCAAGTTGCAGGATGAGCTTGGTAATTTGAGGACGGTGCTGAAGAGGTTGAGGGAGGGGACGAAGGTCCAGTTTGCGTGTTTTAGAAGGGTTAAGAGGGCTAATACGGGGCAGATGGCTGGGCCGGGTGGGGGTGGGGAGGAGGATAGGGGGAGGCGGTAAGGAGGTTGATGTTTGTGTTTTCTTAGAGAAGGTTAGGTGGTATGGTAGTCTCTCCTGTGGAGGTATTTTGTCCTGTTGTTTAGACTCATGTAGATGTGTTGGTGAAGTGATTTATTTCCGTCGTCACGATCCGTCAAACCACATCATAGAGTGTAAAGAGTCCTTGGTATTCCCATAATTCTATCCCTCTACAGACGCGCAGCCCCTCATATGAACCAAAAGAGGCGATTGTCCCGATTTAACAATATAAAACAGTAAAAAAAACGCCGCGAATGCATAACTTCTATATCACTCCATACCCCCTCCCTTAATTCATTCATCGTACAAAATGCTTACGCGAAAAAAAGAAGCTAGTCTTACACATCCTCAACGCGTGACAGGGGGTGCTCCTCGAAACACCGGAGAAGTGTCTGGTACAAGACGAGCATAGTACCAGACTGCACGCTCGTCCAGACCGCACGGGGCCCTACACCTCGGAACCAGCCAGCTACGCCTTCTGTCTTATATATTATCTTTAAACCCGTGATCACGGACGATGTGTCGAGAGTTGCTGCGCCGTGTGCTTTGAGCGTTGTTGATGGGGACGAGGTAGATATGGGTCTGCTTTGCGTTGTAGAGCGTGGCGTAACCGATTGCGTGGGCGGCGCGTGTTTCGTTGCTGATGCTGGGGAAAGCGAGATTTTGGGTGCGGCTGGAGAGGCGGAAGAAGGCCCGTTGTGTTGGGTTTGGATGCGAGTTTTGACTACGTCGAGAGGTGTAGTTATGACGCCGGCCATTCCTCCTGCTGTTGCTGCGGTCGCGATTTCCAGAGGGAGTCCAATGTTATTGGTACCCATGTACTTTTTTGCCCAGCCGCGTTCTTCTTCGTAAAAGGCGAATTGTAGTGCGGAGAAGGGCAGGTCGCGCCACAGTGTTGCTTTGTAGCCATGGAAGAGGGCGCTGTAGCCTTCTGTTCGAGCGATTGTGCGCGCGGCATCAATGGTGGAACGGTAGTTGTAGCCGGAATTGAAGTAAGGGTTGTTATGCCGGCCTTGCAATTGAAGGCGGGTTTTGAGGACTTCTGATGGGACGTATGCTGGTGCTGCAGCGAGGTCGGCTAGGAGACCTGATACTAGTTAGCATATTTCTTCTGAGCGTAATTCAGATATTAGTGTACCTGCTGAGAAATATGCGACTGATGGAGTGACGCCATAGTCGATCATAGTCCGCTTTGTCCATTCATATGCGCCAAAGAAGCACATGGTTCCAATGAAGGACCCAAGAAAGGCCGGTTCCACACCTCCATAGAGTCCTCTTTTGAAACCTTCCTGTCGCCATATGGTGTAGTACGTATTACCCATGGAAGTGTACTTTGGTGGCATATGCGGGTCGCCCTGTTGGCGCGTCTTTACAGTGTCGAGTGAGTGCATTAGCATGTCGCCTGTGGTGCCTCCTATGCCTCCTGCCAGCATTGCCTGTAAATGGTCAATTGGCATGCCTTTATGTTTGCCGGTTAGGCATCCTCACATGTAGGTATGGCGGCCGTGCTGCTTCGTCGTCTATCTCCTCCTCCTCCATCACGCTCCGCTTGGTATCCGCCATGGGGGGCTGCCTTGCTCGTGCTGTATTTGCGACATAGTCCCGGCTACTATCGGTGAGAGTGCTGGTAGAGTCTCCGTTGGTGAAGAGGTTGGCCACGCGGGCAAGTACCATGAGCGCTTAGATGGCGGCGGTGCGCTGTGGGAAGAATTGTGAGTGTTGTAGCGGGAATGCTGCAAATATACAAGACAGGTGCAGGGGAAGCAGGGCGATAAAAGCAAAAAGTGACGTTGCAGCCGGTGCGGGCCTGCGATGATGCTGTTGTCTAGAAAATTTCGGCCAAGACCGGGACTGCGCCACAGCGGCGCCACATGACCCCTTGCATGCACCGCCACAACGGGCCACACGGAGCACAGGGACCTGATGAGGCCCTGATTAGCAGAGATAAGAGGCCAGACTGCGGAGGGAGCCGTCAAGTATCGGATGCAGCACGAAACATGCACAACGTGGCCCTGCGCGTTACGACAATGCGCTGTCCTGCTGCAGATCAGGACAAAGGGCTTCAAGGCTGGGCCCCATAGCCGCCGACTTAGCGCCCATCTGACCCACGTGAGCCCCAGCCTTCGTGTTTACATCTCGAGCCTCGCGTACTACTAACTCTCTTCCCACTTGGTCAACACCGCACCGCCCCCACCTTTTCTCGCACCCCATTCCCTTTTTGCTTCATTATTTATATCGTTGTAATCGCCACGCGCACGCGACTCAGACTGTACCATTCACAATGTCTCACACTTGGCTGCAGAAGAAGCGCAAAGCCGACCTGATTGAGCTGGCACAGAAGGCTAGACTCCCCGAGTAGGCTCAAATCGATCTTGCGCGTATGCCGCGAAACTAATACTCGCCCCGCAGTGCGGATGGTCTGTTGAAGGATGATCTGGTGGAATCGTTGGCAAACCATCTGAACTCCAATGAGACGACATATGCCAAACTCCCAGAATTTCGCGACTACTATGGTCGCAACGGGTCGCCTGTGAAGCGCGAGCGCTCGTCGCCTACGGCACCTGTTACTGTGACCAAGACGACGCGCCGACGTACAATCATCAAGGAGCCTGTGTACGTCATACCCCAAGCACGCGACGCGTTGCGCGTTGAGACTGATACCTTCACAGTGAGGAGGAGCCTAAGCCTGCACGTACTCCGGTTGTGGAACGTACCCCAGTTGTTGAGCGCAGCACGGCTATAGAGCGCAGAAGTGCCCTTGAGAATAGCGCCGTACAGTCGCGAACGCCAAAGCCAGCTCCCCGACGCGTCTCTGAGATCGCTCCCCAAGTTGACATTCCCCCATCGCCTGCGCAACTAGCTGAAGTTGCAGACCAATCGCTTCAGATTGTGAAGACAAAGGCCACTGAAATATGGGATAGAACCAGGATCGACGAGTTGAAGGAGTTTATCCGTGAAAACGCGAGCTCCGTCGCTACCATTCAGACGATAATCCTGCTCATTGAGGCTGTGGGGCTCCAGTGGAACACGCTTGATACAACACCTCTGTTTGCTACGCCTGCTGCGCTCGCCTCATACTCCAACAGCCAGGAAATCAGAGGTCCCAACGGCTGGGCACTTCTGACTGCCGATTGGTGGGCACCCGCAACCCTTTGGTCGCTGACCAGCTGGGTCCTACCGCTCTTCTTCTCATACTTCTTCAACCTGACTCTCCGTTCAAACACCTCCCGTAAATCAGATGATCGCCAGTATCCCGCTGACCCCCTCATCTTCAACATCGCAAGGGCGATATTGGCTTACAGCGCGTACCGGGACACTACCAGCGCGTCTCTCGTCCCGAAGGCTTGGGGTCCTTTCTCTGAGTATGCTGTAGCCCGCGTTGGAAACCACGTACCCGGAGGATACTACGGCCTACAAATCAGCTCAATTGTCGGTATCCTTGTCAGCTTGTACGATGCTGCGTTGAAGAAATAAGCAAACCATTAACTCACGACAAAAAAACACGACCGAGATCGGAGATCTTGCATCTTCAATGCTCGTGTCCTCGGTGGCGTTTGGGATTTGATACCTGGTATGGCAGCAGGCTAAGTCTTCGGAATCGTTTTGTTAAATTCATTCTATCATCATAAGCGATTATTCTTATCCTGTATGGTTTGTACTCCTATATGAAGACTTGAAACAAGCAAAGTTACACAAGGGTCGTCTCAGATTTGTGTAACATCAATAATTGCGGGGAGCATAGTGATGTAATCGCCCGCATAGAGAGTTAAGCTTTTAGACCGCTTACACTTGCTTCAATCGTCCTAGCGTGGTGGCGCCGCACATGCGGGCCGTTTCGCTCTTACAGTGGACGCAGACGCTACATTCTTACTGTACACCCACACTATTCTCACTTTGCCGGTCTAGCCCCGATCTATATCTCTAATTATCTTCATTTACCCGAAAGAGTAGTCTTACTCCCATCATCTCACGTGATCGTATACTGTACTTCACTTTCCAAGATGGCTGCCAACTTTCTGCAAATGCTCGAAAATATGCAGCCGCGGTCTAAGCGGTGAGCGCCAGCGGTCCAGATGAGCGACCCTTCGCTGACAAATACGTGAAGCACTATAGAGGATCTCATAAACTCTGATGATCAGCTCGCTGGCATGGACGGCATGGAACTCAGAGGCTGGACCCAAGCCAATCCCACTGCGCCTAGCCGTGACCTGAAAGATCCAGTGGGCCAAACTCTCCTCGCCGCATTCAATGGGGAATTTGATGCGCTACAAAACTACTGCGAGATGATGATTAAACAACTAGGCGGGGATGAAAACGCACGTGAGACCGTTAGACAGGACATGTACGCGAAGAGATGGGGTCCCGTCAAAACTCCCGTCTACGCAATATTACTGCCAGCACTCCACATGCTCCCAGCAAAGAAGGAGGAACTACTCGGAATAGTAAAGTACCTTGCCAATGATCTTAAAGTACCAGTCGACGGAAAGGACGTTCTAGGCTCTACAGCACTATTCTGGGCCATATCCACAAAACCCTATGTGCAACCCGAATTTGCGCAAATCCTCTTCGACGCTGGAGGCTCCGTCAATACCAAAAACCGATTCAACGCTACTCCAGCGAGCGAGATTGCACAAGCGGATCTACACGGCGACACTACCAAGAACGTGCAAATGATGAAGTGGTATATTGAGCATGGCGGCGATATCGAAAACAAAGATACCGACGGCATGAGTGTCAAAATTTTGGTTGAGATGATGAAGAAGAAGGTACCGCAAATGGCTGAGGTGATTCAGAAGAGGAGGGGAGAGAGGAAAGAAGGGGATTGCACGACGTGTGGGAGGAGTCCGAAGGGTGAAAAGGCGTTTCCGGCTTGTGCGAAATGTAAGAAGGCGAGGTACTGCTCGCAGGAGTGTCAGAAGGTGGATTGGAAGACGCACAAGAAGACATGCGTTGCTTCGTAGATGAGTGAAGCATTGGACGAT